GTGAAAAAAAAACACCTGGTCTCCTTACATTCAGCCACTCTTTCATCATCTCCTCAATGAGGTGGTCTCAAAAGTCGCAGTTACAACACACATAGGGCGCACCGCACCATAGGGCGCACCGCACCATAGGGCGCACCGCACATTTTGAGGGAAAAAAAAGACGTTTAAGTGCGCCTTATAGTCGTGAAAATACGGTATGTAAGGAATAGAAAGAACAGATACTTGTGTGAAAATGTAATGAGTGGAAGTCAGAAGTAGGAAGAAAAATAAGTAATGGAATAAAGTATAGATGCCTAAAAAGTTACTTAAGTACAGTAGCAAAGTATTTGTACTTTGTTACTTGACACTAGGGGTGTGCAAAATAATCGCCATGACGATGCATCGCGATTCTAATTCTTGTGATCTACTGCATCGATTCTTGAAGGCAAGAATCGATTCTTAATAAAAAAAATGAACAAATAAAATACATGAATGGTTGGCGCACATCAGCCAAACCAAGTGGAATACAGCTTCGAGTCCAGCATATGTCACTGCGGATGTGTTGACGCCCGCTGCCTTGTGTCACTAGCATTTCCGGCCGTGGTATACTGCGACGAGTCATAATAAAACATGGAGGACACTATGAAAATTCGCCCCGCGGCTCCATCACATTTCAAGTCAGATGCTTGGATGCATTTTGGCTTTAAAAACAAAGAAGGTAAAAACGAAATTGATATGACGCACATCATTTGCAAAAGGGGAAATATACATTTGAATATTTTCACTTCATTGGTTTAAAGGACCACTGAGGCCATGTAAATGGCACTGATTATCCTTATTTTGTTATTTTAAGTTTGATGAATTCTAAGATCTTTTTGTCAGTGTGTCCACGGCAGTAATAGTAATATTTCTGTCCAGTATTTGTTTTCATGGCAACACCTCCAAAAGTCGTTCCAATAAATACAGCTATGTTTGAATTTAGTTGCTTTCAGTTATGTATCAATTGAAGACACTATCCAGATCATACCCAGCCAGTCAGCCACTGGTAATGGCTGTATCTTTTTCTTACAGTGTTCAGTGAAAATATCGCAATGCATCGCAATATTTCAAGTATCGTGATGCATCATGTTAGAATCGCATCGTGGCATGTGAATCGTGATTCGCATCGAATCATGACTTCTTTGCCAATACCCACCCCTACTTGACACCTCTGATTAGAGGTGAGTATTGGCATAGGCGTGCGATACATGTGTCACGATATGTGGGTTAAAAAACCATATAGTCACGATATTGCAATATCACTATATATTGCAATATTTTTCCCAGCTATCAAATTAAATGTATAGAGAAAAGCACATGCTGTAAATATTCATTAGAAGATATTGATTGTTTAGTTAATTTGGCATCCATGATGTTTGTGGTTCTAGTCNCAAAATAAAATCTGTCTAAGTCTAATGGTTATAATTGACTAAAACCTGGATAAACTTATATTAGGATTCTGATTAGGGGCAGTGGTGTCAAAAGTACACACATTTGTAACTTAAGTAGAAGTATAGATACTGCAGTTTAAAAACACTCTGGTAAAAGTTAAAGTATCAACTTGACCTCTTTACTCAAGTAAAAGTAAAAAAAAGTATGTGCTTAAAGTATAGAGTAACCTTTACAAAAATAAAACACCCAGATGCCACTATATGAATTAAAAGCTCAATCTTTCAACTATTTCTAAAAATTGTTTGAGATAGGGCCAAAGATGAGGGAGGTCTTGTTGGTCTCTGTCTCCATCCCCCCATTCGCTCTCGCCTGTGTCCGACCTTTCAGACATTTCAACATCTTTTTCTGAATCCAACACTGTAGCATGGCATAGACAATTCACGTTTGCAGTTTGAAGAACACCTGCTTGCTTCTGATGATTTCCTTTAGCTAACTAATG